TCATGGGGCGGGACGCGGGCGGGCCAGTCGCCAGGGTCTGGTCGCTGCTGCGCGGAATGCCGCTCCGCCGGCGGGTGCGTCCCGGAGCAGCCTGGACATCCGCGGCCACTCCGGCCTCGACTCGCGTGCAGCGCCCCAGCCGGGGATAGTCTAGGGCCTCTGGGCACCGTCACGCCCGCAGGGCCTGGGACGAGGGCCTAACTTTCTCAAGCCTCAGCTTCTGCTTTCGGAAGTAGGCTTAGTAACAGTGCCTTAAGGGGTTGTTGAGAGGGTCTGTGGAGGCAAGGCCAGCGCTTGGCTCCGGGATTGGCTCATGGGAAGCCCAGTCGGTGCGAGGTAGCTGCTTAGGGCTGGCGTGGACGTCTCCATCCCAGAGTGCCGCAGGATGGCCTTCACCCTGCCACACCGCTCTGCAGTCAGGCTTTAGGGGTGGAGTCTGGTGGTAACATGCGACCAGAGGCGAAGACCAGACTTTGGATAACGGGGAGAAACTTTATACCTAAGACGCCTCTGTCTTGGAGCCCAGCGACTTTTATTTGGCCTAGACAATGCTTTTAGAAGTTGCCAACATTTAAAAACTGAGGGTTCGTGTATTTAAAACATGTTTACAATTTCTCCTGAAAAGTCAGAAGACCTGGCCACAAGGAGTATTTTTCCATCTTGGAGTTTTGCACAAGATACAAGTATCTTATTTATCTGTTTATTTTTTCCTCTGGTAAAATGCCCCTTCCAGGGCAGGCGTCAGACCGTGCGCCAATCCTCATTTTTTGGTAGGGATGAGAGCTTTGAGAAGCCTATGAAACGTATGAAAATTAATCAAGGGAAACCTGAAAAATGAAGTCAGGAAGCGAGGAGGAGGAACACTTGACAGTCAATACAACCCCAACAGCTAGAGGCATACTTTGTCTCCGGTGGGAAGTGACGGCTGCTTTACTACTCCCAGCAGCAGTAAAGATTTTCTCCCTGTCTGACAACAGCTCAGCCAATGAGAGACTGTCATAACTCAGCCAATGAAAAACCATTATACTTCCAAGTTCCAGTGTCTTCCAGTTGACTTTTTGTTTATAACGACCACCCCCAACTTCCACTTCTCTATAAAAAGAGTTCCCTCTCATTTGCTTAACGAGGCTTGCAAATGGTTCATCATAGTTGCATAGTTTGCATTGCAGTTCTTTGCCACTCCCAGATAAACCTGTTTTGCTAGTAGAATAACTGGCTATTTTATTGTTTTAGGTTAACATTACATGGAGGTTCCACCAAGAGCCAGAGAAGACCCTTGACAACTCTGAGGCTGGGGAGCGAACAGGTGCTGGTACCCACAGAGCCCAGTGAGCTCACCGCTTTCTCAACGACCCTGGAGTTTGAGGGTGAGTTTTTCTCCTGGATCCGAGCTCTGCCCTTTTTGCGTTTTGACTCTCTCCAGGCTTTATTTGGGATCTGTTTAAAGGCTTTGTGTTTTTTACTTGTCTTACCTGTGAGTACTCTATTGGCACTTCAGCCTCACTCTTTTGAAATCAGGCTGTTCCTACTGGAACTATGCTGGTATTTGGTCCACAGGCTGTTTAAGAATTATTCTTTTGTTCTAGAGAAAAACCCTTGAAAAATGGGATCCCAGTTATCTAAATGTTTTGAGGGTGCCTCCCCCTTTTCAGGGACCCTCAGCCATTTTATGTTTAAAAACTGCAGTCTTTCCTCATATGCATTGCTAACTAAAGGGACCACCTGAAACAAAAGTAATTTAGAACATCAAGGGCCAGTATGGGGAACTTTTGAACTCCCCAAACTTACCTTTCTTAAACTTCTGTTAGACAGCCATGGATATGAAATGGTCAAAACTGAACTGGACACCTTTTCTGTTTGATATTTTAAGATTTCCAAAACTTATCAGGAGTTTCAAATTACCTCTTTGCCAAACACAGTTTTTATTTATTTTTTTTAACATTTTTTATTGATTTATAATCATTTTACAATGTTGTGCAAACACAGTTTTTAAATTAACCGAGGCAAACAAAATTTTAAAGAAAGACAAAATGGACTTCTGAGGTCTCTTTTGCCCCGGTCGTCTTGGTCGCCGGACGCTGGCGGTCATCTTGTGTGCGAGCCCATCCCAGGCGCCATCTTCCTTTCCTTCTGCCCCGCCCTCTTCTGATTCTTCCTGAGCTTCCCTTACTCCCAAAAGCTCTGCTGATTCTTCCTGATCCTTCCTTTGAACCTATCAGAACCTGCTCCTTCACAGTTAAATCTTTTGAGGATTGAAATAAACCTCATAATTACTTACAGTCCCTGGACAAATGTCGAACTGTGAGCTGTAAAGAGTTTCCTAAAGTAACTGAGGACCCCCATAGGTTCGTCAAAGATTTTAACCTAGTTTGTTCAAACCCACCATTCTGGCTTCTCAGATTTGTATCAGTTAGTCCACGTAATCATTGGTGAGGGTCAAGCAAACTGGGTGATACTAGCCCAGTGGGAACATTCTGGAGGAGATTTAGCAGAGCCAGCCCCTAATTTTGGCAAGAGGCTAGAACGCTGCCTGAAAGCCTCCACTGAGCAATTGCAGTAGCCTTTCCTAAACCTGTCGATCGGAACAAAATTCAGCCTTGCACACAAAAGTCTAATGAACCTGTTCATGACTCTTCCAATCAACTTCAGGTTACTTTTAAAGAAAACTCTGGTCTCCCTTCAGATGCTGAGTCCACTAGGGTAGCTGTTGCCTTCATGTTTATGAATGGGCTGAACCGGAATCGTTTAGTTAACAGAACCAGGATGGAATGGGAAACTACGCCCACTCTAGATTTATGTGGCAAATCAGCTCACTTGCACCCTAGATGAGTCACCAAAAAGAAAGACCACTAAAATTCTTAATCTTCAACTCCAGCAAATGAAGGTCCGTAAACAAAACCAAAAACCTGGTTTCTGCTACTGCAAAGAGCCAGGGTGCTGGAAAAAATACTTAGATGATTTGCCCCCACGCTCTCCTTCTCAAACCTCATGAGAAGACAGCATCCATCTCCTAAAAGTTTTGGCTTTAAATGGACATAAAGTCTCCAAAGAAAAACTGCAGTTTGCTCAAATTCAGGTTCACTATTTAGAGCACTTCATCTCACAACAGGAATGACCTTTGAATCCAGATAGGCTTCATGGCATCCTGAACGTCCCCAAACCTAAAACTAAATGCTAATTATGAGGTTTTCTCGGGCTGCTGTCAAAATCAGATTCCAAATTTCTGTCTATGGCTCAGCCCCTACCTGCTTTATTAAAACCAGCAAAGCTGACCCCATTAATTGGGGAGATCAAGATGCCACAGCCTTTGAAGACTTAAAGAAGAACTTAACGAGACCACCTGCCCTTGGACAGCCTAATTATCAGCTTCCCTTTTCCCTCTTTGTATGTGAGAAGGAAGGGAATGCCCTTGGCGTAGTCACCCCAAAACCTGGGGACCATCATGGACCTGTAGGTATTGTAGCCAACAGCTGGGCCCTGTGGCGCAAGGGATATTCCCTTTGCCTCAGAGCCATTCCTGCCTGCCCTTCTGGTTAAGGCCACAAAAGAGATAATCATAGGATCCCTTTTAACCATGTCTGTCCCCCACGCAGTGGAAGCCCTCCTAAATTCTCATCCACGCAGTACTTTCAGTCACCTCGCCTGTTATGAAATCCTTTTGCTACCCGCTCTTCCTGTAACTCTCACAGTTACTAACCTCCACCCTGCTGCTCTTCTCCCCTCCTTCACTCATGAAACCCCTCACGGCTGCCTGATGCTGACCAGTCACCTCTGACTCCGTGTAATAATTTACAGGAGACTCCTGTAACCAGTGCCAGTTTTTCATGGTTTACTGATGGTTCTCATTTAAAGGGAGAAAGTAGTAAATATTGTGCTGGGTATGCTATTGGCAACTCCTTTTGAGGTCATTGAAGCAACACCTTTACCTATGGATGAATTACCCAATAGGCTGAATGAAATGCTCTCACTGGGGCCTGTCCTTTAGCCAAGGGCAAAACCACAGACATTTATACCTGCAATCAGTATGCCTTTAGAGCAACCCATGACTTTGGGGTGACTTGGAAACAACAAGGTTTCCTTACCTTTAATGGGAAAAAGATTTAAAATGGTTCTTATCGGAGAGGACGATATAGCTCAGGGGTAGAGTGCGTGCTTAGCACATAGAGGTCCTGGGTTCAGTCCCCAGTACCTCCACAAAAAAACAAAAACAAAACAAAACAAAAAAACAAACAAGTAAACCTAAGTACCTCCCCACCTAAAAATAAAAATAAATAAATAAAATGATTCTTACATCCAAAATTGATTAGATGCTGTACTCTTGCCAGCTGCCTTGACTATGATGACTATCCCTGGGCATTCCAGGCTCGAGCCTCTATAGGCTAAAGGAAATCAAGCATGTATCTGCCCAAGACGCTGCCCTCAAAGGAACCAATGGCCAAACCTCTGTCATGATCCAAAGGGATGCTCCCTAAGATAACAATCTAGAAAAATTGACTAGAAATGCCCAACACCGCAGAAAAGGAAAAACAATATTGGAGATCTCGTTGGTTCAACAGAAAGAGAGAATTCTAGTTTGGACCAAATAACAAACTGGTCCTACCAGAAATTCTGATTCCCAATCCTTACCACCGTGCGTGCATTAAAACTATCGTCCCACTGACAAAATGATAGCACTCGTGAATCAGTGTTGGGGGGGAATATTAATAAGGTCACAAAGAGTACCTGCCCTCTTGTCCCACCTGTCCAAAGTACAAAACAGGAAACCTGTTTGCACTGCTCCCAGACACTCTGAATAGCCTCAGGGGCCATGCAGAGATTAGTAGATGGATTTCATACAGCTGCCTCCATCTCCTGGATATAAATGTCTTTTACACATAATCTGTATGTTTTCTTACTGGACTGAAGCCTTCCCTGGCAGACAGGTCACTGCTGCTTCTGTGGCTACAACTTTGTTAGAAAAGATTATCCCTGCCTGGGGAACCCTCTTGAAGTTCACAGTGATCAAGGGTCATTTTACTGGTCAGTGCTTCAACAACAGACTGTAGGTTGCAAATTCAGGGACTGAATTTGGATAAGAATCCAGAGTCAGTTTTCTAGTTTAGATGAAAGAGAGAGACTTCTGTGAATTCTAAACCTTGTAACAGGCCTTAGGAAAATGTCTAGACGTGTCTAGACATCTTAGGAAAAGCTGTCTCATCAGTGTCATCTGCTTCAATTCCAGGAAATCTTTATCTTCAGGGCACCAGATGGTGTGCAGGTCTAGTCTGAATCTGGTGCTTTCTTTAGATGTGTCACATGAATCCAGGAGTCTGTTCTCTGGAGTTCAGTGGCACAAGGCTAGGTTAGCACTACCTGATGGGGCCTTTCCAGTGAAGTTGAAGAGAGTCCTTCTGGAGGTGTCTTTTCCAATAGATGAAATCTCCAGGTTGAAAGATGTGATGCTTATGGTCTTTGTCTCCTAAGACTGCACTATGAAAAAGCCTGCTCTACCAGAGCATCATTATTTTTAATAGAAGCAATTAGGCCTTTACGATATTGAAATGTATCTCCTTTTATCAGCTGCCGATCAAAAGTGGGAGGAGCCAGGTGCATTGGGTACCCCGTGACTATCTCAAAGAGTGAGAGTCTGAATTCCGAAAGGGTTGATTCTGAGGTTTAGAAGGACCAATGGCGATTTTTTTTTTTTCGAGAGTCCCTGTGAATTTTGCCCATTGGGTTCTAATAGTACGTTTGACTAACTCTGAGGTCTGAAGATGTTTAGCACAGTGGAAGTGTTGTGAAACTAGTGAAAGAACACAAATTTGTTGAAGCATCTGACTAGCCGGTGAAAAGCCACTATATCTGGAACTCCCAGCTTCCTCCAGTGGACTTTAAGTTTCTAACAGCCCCTCCCTACTTCCCCTTCTCTTCTATAAAAGAGCTCCCTCTCCTTTGCTTAATGGGATTTACAAGTGGTTCACCAGTTGCATGACCCAAATTGCAGTTGCTCCCACATGATCTGCTTTGCTGGTAAAATATCTGACTGTGTTACTGTTTTAGGTTAACAACTGCTTCTTTGGCCACATCTCAGTGGAAAATGAGAAGTCTCCCCAGTGTCCTTACATGTGGGAGAATATCCCCCCCCACCCATAGGCAGATAAGGGCCATCTGCTCAAGCCATCTTGAGTGACAATGGCCACAGGCCCAACCCCACCCACCTGGGGGAGTCCCCTTAGAGAGCTGGATAACCAGGACCTCCCCGCCAGGCAGAATTCAGGCTGAGATGGTGGCTCTGTAATTTTCCCAAACCCCCATGCAATTCAGATGTCAAGGGAGGAAGGTGTCCTTGGGGGCAGCTAACCTAGCATTTTGCTGCAATGCTAGGGGTGTGGGTAACGATGCTTTGGAGCACTGCTCAACTAGCCTCATGCTATATGCTGTACTGGTACTAACTCAGTCCTCCCAGCCCTTCTGAAGTCAGGACCGTTGCCATCTCCTTTTTACACCTTCCCGGCTAGTCACTGCAGGCCAGGATTCAAACCCAAGCAGTCTTGCTGCTTTCCCCTCAATCTGCTTTTAGGTTCCTGGGCATTTCAGAGTGGCCTGACGCCCACCCCAGAACTGTGGTGGGGGGCCTCCTCATTGGGATGTTGTATCACATCCGGATTCCAGGCCAAAGTGAGCAATTTGGGGAGAGGAAGTTTGAGTCTCAGCGCTAGCCCATCAAGCCCGTCACCGTGAGCTGGTCTGTGGATGACATGAATAAAGGTTTTATGTTCCGATGGTGAATTCACAGCATTAAAGTAACCTCACCAAAAGTCTCTGCAGAGCTTCCAGACAACAGCATGGCCTTGGCACTCTCTTACAGTTCACCAGGCCCACCAACTTAAAATTAAGCAATTAATTTTTTTAGTGGGGGGATGGGGCCTCTTTAAAAAATTGGTCCCTAAAGATTTTAATATTTTCATTGCATTCTTCCAAATGTGCATAACATGTGACCTCTCCATATTTTGAGGCTCTGCTGTGTACTAGAAGGGTGCTCATGTGCTCCCTAACCTCTCCCCAAAGAGGAAACAGGATTAGGAGTCCCTGGTCCAGGTCCCCAGGGATCTGAGGGGTCCACCTCCTTGATCAGGGCTCCTGAGCACTGTTGCTCCCCACAGGCCTGTGCGTGCACCCCACCTCGGCACAGCCATGGCCGGGGTCAGCATCAACGAGCTGCCCGAGAGCATCCTGCTGGAGGTGTTCATGCACCTGCCCGCCCGCCAGCTGCTGCTGAACTGCCGCCCTGTCTGCAGTCTCTGGCGCGACATCATTGACCTCGTGACCCTCTGGAAGCGAAAATGCCTGCGTGAGGGCTTCGTCACCGAGGACTGGGACCAGCCCGTGGCCGACTGGAAGGTCTTTTTCTTTCTGTGCAGCCTTCGCAGGAACCTCCTGCGCAACCCATGTGCTGAAGGTGGGCTGCAGCTGCCACTGGGCCGATTCCCTCACTTTCCTGAACCTCAGGACCTTTGCACTTGCTGTCCCCACACTATCTGGAATGTTCTGTCACCCCGTGAACACTTGTCACGCCCCCTTGGGCCCTCTCCTCATTCTTCGGATCTCAGTTCAGAGATCTGCCCTGATCCTTCATCTGATGAAAGTAGTGCTCCCCCTCTGTGCTCTGTCACCCTGTGTCCTTCCTTCATAGCACTTGTCATAGCCTGTCATTACTTTGTCTCTCTCTTTTTTTTCTTTCCTCTGCCACAAACTTCAAGTTCCTGGGGCATGACGGCTCTTGCCGCCCTGCAGCCCATGTCCACACAGCAGGTGTTCAGGAAATGTTTGTTGAGTGAGTGAACACACTGCAGACTCCCTCCCCTTCAGTTCAGGCTGCGCTGCCTGACGTTGAGGGAGGGCTTTGTCTGTGTCAGGCACTAGTCTGAGGTCTTTACAAGCGTGCTTACCCTCCTGTTACCCGATCGTGCAGAGGAAGAAAATGAGGAACTTGAGAGGTAACTACGATCACATGGTTGAAACCCGTTTAGCTCATGTTCTCTTATAAATTTGCGGAGGGTTTTTCCCTTCTTTTAGTACCTACGAGGTACCAGGCATCATGCTTCTTGTTGGGGCTACAGCAGCAATTGGTTTAGAGGCAGACTTTACACACTTAGAATCCCTTTAGTGTCTGTTTTCTCTTTATCCTCATGAGGATCCTGAGAGCTAGCCACATGAGAAAGGTTGGCTCCATTTTATAGACGGGGAGCCTTAGGCCCCCGTGATGAGTGTCCTGCCCAAAGAAACAGAACTTGCCCAGTTCCTGGGGTCTGGTCCCCACTGCTGATGGCCCTCAGGCCCCTCTCAGAGGCCTCACAGACAGCATCCCAGACACTCAGTCTCCTCGTCTGACGGGACTGGACTCGGCCGCCAGCTCAGTTCACACAGAGCCAGCCTGCAGCCTTGCCTGGCACAGGGCACGGGGCCCAGCAGCGGCCGCCCAGCCTTGCTCAGCTCTCCCCTTGGGCTTGCCCTGGGTACCAGCCCGGCTCCCGGGTTTCTGAATTACTCTTCTGTTGCTCTACTGCGAGTTCCCCAGGGCACCTGAGGGAACAGATGTCAGCTCCTAGTAGAGGGAGCAAGGGAGGAATTTGGGAAGATTGTTCTGGAAAGCCTAGGTAGGGAAGCAGTGTTGTTTCCCGAGGTCCTCTCAGCTCAGTCTGAAGGAGGAGACAGGAAGGACAGCTTTATGCCTCCAAACCCGCCGAGCCAACCCACTGGGGATCCTTCCACCAGTGCGGGGTCACTACACACCACCAACCCAGAGGACGCTCAGCCTCCCAGTCATCCCTCCTTCCCTGGGCAGAGGGGGACCAAGTCGGCACAGTCGGTTCGCAGGACCTCAGATCTCAGTCACATAATTAACCTGGACCCTGACATCTGGAGAATGTCAATCGTCAAGTAAGCAGTCGGAGTTGGGACAATCTCACATTGGCCCTTAAGAACATAAGTACCATCACAGGCCCTTCATAATATGATTTGAGAGCTGAAACTTGGGTACTTCCCAGAGCCCCTCGGCAACACGGAAGCAAGGAAATGTCAGTTCGTAATTTCTGGTAATACTCTTTCTCCAATTTCAGGTTAGGAGTTGAGCCAGTCAGGGACAGAGCAGGAGGGAGAGGGAACCAGATCAGAGCTGACGTGGTGGGCACAGGGGGGAATGGCGGGTGGAGGGGAGCCTTGTAGGGTGGTTCCAAGGCATGGTTGTGGTGCACACCTTGAGATCTGAGCATTACCCCCTCCATCCCAGGACCAGGTGGGGAGGGCCAGACTGAACACTCACACCAGGGATCTCACTTTGGCTTCTGCTCCTAGAGGATATGACGTCCTGGCAAATCGACTCCAACGGGGGGGACCACTGGAAGGTGGAGAGCCTCCCCGGACCTCATGGCACAGAGTTTCCTGACTCCAAAGTCAAGAAGTACTTTGTCACGTCCTATGAGTAAGACAAACTAAACCAGGAAGCTGTATGGAGGGAAGAGGGTCAGGACACCTTTGCCAAACCCCAGGCCTAAGTGAGGGCCTCTCTGCAAAGCTCAAGGGAGGTGGTTCCAAAACCAGCTCAGGGTCTACGTGTACTGCTTCCTTGAGCATGCGTCACTGCCGTGGCTGGGTTCACAGGCAGTGGGGTGGACAGCAGTTTGAGGAGGCTGGGAGCCCGCTGGGTGGTTAGGGTAAGTCAGGGGTGGCACAGGCTGTTGCTCCTCTAGGGATGTGAGTTCACGGAGGCACCCTCCTCAGGGCCCTGGGAGACTGGGCCTAGAGACTGGGATGAGATGCTGCCCAGTTACAAGGGGGTGAAGCTCCCCAAATGTTTCTTATGAGCCTGCAAGGCGGTAGAAGCCAGAGTCAGCACCAGTGGCTGCCCTGCAGTGGTCAGGGCTACTGCTGGGTCCCCTGGACCACCTCCCTGGGTCCGGGCCATGCAGACCATGCCTGGGAATGCACACCTTTCCTTCTCCTCCCCAGAATGTGTCTCAAGTCCCAGCTGATAGACCTCAAAGCCGAGGGCTACTGGGAGGAGCTACTGGACACCTTCCGGCCGGACATTGTGGTTAAGGACTGGTGAGTGGGGCCCACACCCATCCCACACTCTGCAGCCCTCCCTCTTCTCTTCCTGAGAACCCCTGCAGAGAGTGCCCACGGTGCTGGCAATGTCCTGGGGCAGGGGCTCCCCCGCCACTGACAGACACAGCACCTCCTGGGCCCTCCCCCTCCCTGAGTCAGCAGGAGATGTGAACCCCAGTTTACAGGTGGAGAGTCCGAGGCCAACAGACAAGTTGTCACAGACAGGCACTGAAGCAGCACTGAAAACAGGACCCCTCCTCTCTGGACCGCGCAGCTACTTCCTGCCTCCTTGTGAATCTGCCTTTCCTGCCCCTTTCACTGTTCGTCCCACAACTCTGTCCCGAGCTCCTACTCTGTGCCCAGAGCTTTGCAAGGCTCTGGCTTGGCCCAGTGCAGAAGCAGGACCCCAGTTCCAGTCAGGCCCCAGGGCCACCACTGAGGATGCAGGGTTGGGGGTTGAGAGGTGTGCAGAGCTGCGGGGCTGAGCAAAGGATGAGCTCTGTACCAATCCCCATCACACGGGCCACCCCTCTTGAACCTCCTTTGGATCCACCGCCCTGTCCATTATCATGTGCAGGTGACACAGATCCGACAGCCCAGGCGTTATGCTTTTTATGGTGACATCCTCACTGGAACACCCGGAATGGATGCCCCTTTTCTCAGATGGGTTCACTGAGGCCCAGCGTGGATAGACTGCTTACCCTGGGGGCACAGTGGGACACGAGGAGCCCTGAAGCAGCAGGGCAGGGCAGGGAAATGAAACAGAGTTCTAATTGTGGGCCCGCTGCCTGCCGGCCTCCAGGACCACCTCTGCCTTGGAGTGCACGGTCCTAAGCCCCACCCTCCCTCAGGTTCGCCGCCAGGGCAGACTGTGGCTGCACCTACCACATCCGAGTACAGCTGGCCTCGGCCGACTACATCGTCCTGGCCTCCTTTGAGCCCCCACCTGTGACCATCCATCAGTGGAACGATGCCAGGTGGACAGAGGTGAGGCCTGACCTGCTTGCCCCTTGCCACCCACTTCTCCCACGTCCAGGATGGCAGGAAGTAAGGGGGCAGCCCCAGGGCCTGGAGTGCCCCCAGTCCTCTGTCTGGAGTTTCTGCCTTCTGGCCAGGCAGCTCTCCCCTCCAGGACCTGGTTCCACCCTCCCCCTCCCAGGGTCAGTGTTTACCCTGTCTTGTCCCCTCTCCAGTCCTGGTGGTCACTTCCTCTCTCCTCCCCCCAGGTCTCCCACACCTTCTCGGATTACCCTCCAGGTGTCCGCCACATCCTCTTCCAGCACGGGGGCAAGGACACCCAGTTCTGGGCAGGCTGGTACGGGCCCCGTGTCACCAACAGCAGCATTGTCATCAGCCATAAGATGACCAGGAACCCGGCCCCCTCCACGGCTCACCCCTAGACCCTGCAGGGGCCAGAGGAGGCTACCCACCTGCCTTCCCCACTCCATCTCCACAGGCCCTTCTGACAGCCTGTCATCTGACAGCCATTCATCCGTCCTCTGTCCCGGCCAGTGGAGTGCCAAAGGTTGCCTCCAGGCAAGAGCTGAGCCTACAGTGGGCAGCAAGTCCCTCCGTGTAAGTTCCGACTGAGGGCAAACCCACCAGTTTGTGGTAACTTACTGTTACATAGCTCTGTCATTTTGTTGTAATAAATGTTTTCAGTAAAACCAGCCTGGGGTTGGATCTAGGGGCAGGGGTGCCAGGTCCTTGGCCCTTTGGTGGAGGAGCAGCCCCTCCCCCCAGGTGAATTTGGCAGCACCTATGGCTCCCACTCAGGCAGTGACATCCCAGCTCAGCCCTTGGGGCTCTTTATTGAAACAACTCACAGCACAGCATTTGAGACAGACAGCGTTGGCCTGCTGAATCCCAGGAGGCTGAGAAATCGAGGTCCCAGTGCCCTTCATTGCCCTCCTGGGGAGAATTCCTCCATGAAGGCAGTCAGGCCTGAGCAGCCCCAGGCTGGAGGGTCAGGGGTCCATACGTAGAGGCATTAAGAGCACTTGGAATCAGGGTGGCCCTGCAGTACTGCCCTAGGCGAGGGCCCCCAAAGTCCGATGGTTGGTTGTGGCATCCACGGGCAGGCACACCCTCAGCTGCTTTTATGAGCTCGCTCTTCCACATAGAGCTGCATCTAATGGCAAGAACAAACAGCCATGGTCAGGTGGACAGCCAGGGCCCCTACTCTGGAGAACCCATGAGGCCTCTGCCAAGAGTGGGCTTGTGTAGCCACAGCCAGCATTAAGGGAAAGAGGGGACTGGGAGTCTTAAGCCAGCCACGCCCTGGTCACCTCCCCCAAGCAGCTCACCTTTAAGATATCCGATGTCATGGTTTTTAGGGGTATCAGTCGGGGGTCGTGCATGTGGACGTCCTGCTCATCTGCCAGGATCCAGGGGAAGTCCTAGGGAGGCGACCAAGGGAAGGGTGGCAGGGGGCTGGCCGTGGCCTACCCTCACTTTGCTACCCCTTCCCTTCCCCGAACTAGGGCCCTCAGACTTCAGGGAGCATCCGAATCGCCAGGGAACCGCTGGCAGTGCCGATTCCCAGGTTCGTCCACCAGACAGGCTGAGACTGGAGACCCAAACTGGGCTGGGAACCCAAGTGATTTAACAAGCCCCAAACACCAGTTGTGAAATTGGATCAAGGATCCCCTCCTTTGAGAACCCCACTGAGCTGCGCCCTCCTCTCAGCACTGAGAGCCCGGGTGGGGCGATGACAGGCAGGTGGCCACAGGGCTGACACACAATGAGAGCCTATTGTGTGCCAGGTGCTGCCTCCAGCAACGCTCCTGCTGGTCAGAGCTCTGGTTTTCAGAGCATCCTGGCTGTCTTGCCTCCGCGCCCACCCTTCCACACCAGCCTCATCTCACCTTGATGACTTGGATCTTCTCCATGTTGCGAGTGGCAGCTTCTCTCGTGTGCACTAAGACTGTGAAGGTGCAGCCTAAAGAGGCAAGAGTTTTGTCAAGACTGGGCTACCCCATGCCTGCCTCGGGACACAGCTTCCTCCCACCTCCCTAGCTGGCTCAGCAGCCCCACAGCACAGTGTTAACCAAGTACTAAGACAAGACAGTCAACAGGAAGACTGAAGTCAGGTAGAGTCAATCAGGGAAGCTTCCTGGAGAGGGTGGGCTTTTGGAGCAATTACAAAAGTCAGAAAGAAAGAGAGGAGACTTGGTGCAGACAAATAGGGACCTGAGGACACAGACCAACACAAGTAGCTATGGAAACACCCAGAGAAGAGAGGGTGGGGTGTGAGCATACCAGGGGGGTTGTGGTCCAGGACAGCATCACATACACTGATCTTCAGGATGAAGGCCCGGAGCAGCTGCTCCACGTGAGACAGCAGGGAGTCTGAGCTGAGAAGGAGAGAGGAAGAGGGTCTCCCAGCACATGGGTGGCCCCCCTCCCACCAGCAGTCAGTCAACCCTGGAAGCGGCCCTCGGGTGCAGAGCCCTGTCCGCCTGGTACTTTTGAGGGCTTGGCTACCTATCTCTACACAGCTAAAGCATCTGGGGAGTTTAAAACCAATGCTAAGTACCATCACAGACAAATTAAGTCAGAATGGTGGGCAAAGGGTGTAGGGAACCCCAGTAGGTGGTTGTAACGTGCAGCCGGGTCTCAGAACCAGGACACAGCCCAAACTTCATACTCTAGGACACCAAGCTGGGAAGGGAGAGGGCTTGCCCAAGGCCACACAGCAAGTGGGGACAGATTCCAGTGCTCTGACTTCGCCACAGGAAGCCGGCAGCTGACCAGCCCAACACACCCGTCCAAAGTCAACTTCAAGTTGACTGTGGACTGGATGCTTGACTGGGAAGTCAGGAACCGGGTCTATGTCCTGGCTTTGCCACCATTTGGGTGACCGGGTCAAGGTCATCTCTCTGACCTTGGTTTCTCCATCTACAAAATGAGGTTGGGACTAGCCATTTGCCAATGCTGTGATTTTCAAGGTTTGATACAGGAGGGTCTCTTTGTAACCTGTGTGATGTCCACAGAGACTGGGGGGCGGCCGGCTGCAACTCAGCCACTAACAGCCTTGTTAGGTCAGCACACCTTGCCATGCCTCCTCTCAGACCTTTACCAAGGCACTTAGCAGCTACCAGAAAGGGGTGAGGGTCGGGGATATAGCTAGGACCTCACACCAGCTGGCACATGGACGGGGAGAGAGGCAGCTCACCTGATGGACAGCAGCGGAGGCTGTGTGATTTCAAAGACAAATTTCTCCACTGGGCGGTGTTCTTTGTCCAAAATTACCACCACTACCTTCTCCACATCATTCTGCAAGGACAGGAACCCCCCACTCCAGAACTGGACACCCCCCTACCACCACCACCACTCCCTCCCTGCCCAGGGAATTATGGGAAAGGGGCAGTCGCAGCCCTGTTCAGCCTCTAGGCCCAGAGTTCCTCAGAGCCCAGAAAGAGGTTTGAGAAGTTGAAGTAGGCACCCCCAGAAATGAATGGTACAGACAGAGAGGAGAGGATGCCTGGGCCCCGTGGGGATACCAGGACATCTCAGAGAGAACAAGATAGAAGGAAGAAGCACTGAGCGGCTAAGCTGAGACAGAACTTGGGGATGGAAGAAGAGACTGCCTGAGAAGAACCCAGAACCCTCCAAGGCAGGCCCCACGTGGGGAGCCAATTCCACTATTGGGGTGGGGCTCTCTTCCAACATGCCCTGAATGTGCCCCCATGCCCTGGGCCCTGAGCAGGAATGGTCTCTAGAGTGCAGGGAACAACAGGCTTCTGGGTGTTAGAGACACAGGGACCCTGCATGGTCCCAGCATCACCCCATCCTGGAGGATGGGGGAGCACTGGGGGTGACGTGGGCCAGGGGGTCCGGTGCTCTCACCTTCTCCAGGAGCGGCTTGACGCAGTGCAGCGTGTCCTGGATATACTGGTTCAGTTCCGGGTGACAGGACATCTGCATACAACCCCATGACGGCTGGTGAGGCAGGATGGGGAAACGACCCCACACTCCTTACAGCAGCCCAAGGCCCCTTCTGCCTTTAGAGAAAGGCCCATCCGTTCCCTCAGGCTCGCCACCCGGGACAGACTACCCATCATGAGGCCAAGAACTGGATTATCCCCAGAGGAAGAGAAGTTAGGAGATCCTAAGAATTCAGTCTTAACATTAGCACTTCATACAGCATTAGGAGTTCGTTGAGCTCCTCCAGAGTCTAGAAGTCCCTAAATTGTATTTGGGCAAACAGGCATTTTTCCAGAGAAAGGATCCAGAAATTTAATCAATTTTCAAACATTAAGAATCTGGAACTAAGAAGCTGTGAGCCCTCAGGCTTAACCTCTCTGGGCTCTACTTACTTCACCTGCTGAAGATTTCATTAAAAAGTAAGGATTAAATGAGATAAGTAGCTAGTACACAGTGGGCACTCTAAGTGCTGATTCTTTTTTCCCTTTCCCTGTATATCCTCTAAGCTTCTACCACCTTCCAGTAGTCGGCATTTATTCTAATATTTGCTGATTGCTAAGGGGCAGGCACATCTAGAGACTGCGGATAGAGTAGCATATATTCACTGCTTTGTCTCCTTTTCACTTGTAAACAACCCGTTACAATTAGGGTAAATGAGGGGAGAGAGAAGGTGCCTGAGGTTTACAGGAACCCCCTCCCCAAACCAACCATTCACCAGGTGCAGGACACCTTTCAAATACAATGATGGTGGGGTTGAGGGTTGTGGGGGGGCTCTAATCAGAGGGTCTGGCCCCTAACTTTTGGCGAGGGGAACTCCCAGTTCAGAGGGGATGAGAGGAAACGCCACTGCAGTGAGCAGGTAGAAGGTTGTCGGGCTATCAGCAGCTGCCAGGAACTAGATGGCAAGGCCATGCTACTGAGGAATGAGGGGGCTGAGCCCGAAGGTGGAAGAGAGTGAAAAATCCCCCCTCTACCCACTCTTGTGATTCGGGGCACGGGGTTACCCAGTGCACCCAACCTGACTGTGGGGGCTCACCTGGACAGGCACGTTGTACTTCTTACGCTTCTGGAAGATGCCCACCGGGTAGACCTCACGCACGTAGAGAATCAGGTGCACGGCCACCTCCAGGAACTCGCAGAGCACGTCGGCCACCACTGCGAGGGGGCAGAACTCAGTGCATGCGCTCGGGGAAGCCCGCCCGCCCAGGCCCTCCCTCGACCCCCGCCCCGGGTCCGCAGGTCCAGCCACCCTACCTTGACCAAAGTTGAGGTCCTGTCGCGTGAGCGTGGTCATCCTCCCGGATACCTAGGGGGCGGGGCAGGAGCGGGAGCTAGTTCCAAAGGCCCAGGCAGCCGCAGGGCCCGCCCCCTCCATTGCCCCTCCCCTCCGCCTAGGGGGCATCGGGCAGGACCGCGCCTCCCTTCACACCGAACCGTGGCAGCTGAGAAGCACCCCCTCACGCTGTCTTCAGCCCTCGGGGGTATCAGCTGCTCTGGCCGCCTCGCCCTGCTGTCTGGTTGGGGTAGAAAAGGACAGAGCTATGCCCGCATAGAGGGCACGGCCGCGGCCGCAGAGGAAGCAGCTGGATGCGCAGGGCCGGGAGCGTAAAGCGGGGCACGCGGAAAGCGAAACTAGGCTGGAATAAGACTTTACCCCCTGCCTGGCTGGATTCCTCCCCTGAGGGAATCCTGCTCCTCTCCTCTAACCAGGGTACCGGCTTCGGCCTCGATTCCCGGATCGGGGCCCGGCCCCCGCGAGGGAAACCACCGACCAGATTACTCGCGCCTCCCGCTCAACCCGCGGCCGGGGCGCCGCTCCGTGACGTCCGCTGTGCTCTGGTGGGTCCTAGCGCCCGCCTCCAGCTACGCTCACTCCCCGCGCAGCCAACCACGGGTAGGGGAGGGAGCGGCTGCCGGAGGGGCGGGGCTTGGGAGGGGCGGGGCCCTGCCTCCGTGCGAGTATGATCCCAGGGCCTGAGTGGGCAGATGCTGCGCCACGCCGCTTCCTTTCAATTTTGGGTAGGCGCGAAAAAAGACAGCTTTGGTCTCCATACCGGAAGGCTACGTATTTTCCTCCCCAGGGCATTTCTCTGTTTTTAGGGCGTGGGAAGAGGGCGGGTAGGTGTTACTGGTGAGAGCCAGGTGAAGCTCACAGCTGGGGGCTATGGATAGCGACATCTGCCGAGAGCTCTGGAGTCACCATCCTCAGAACCTCAGCTGCCCAACCGAAAGCGAATCCGCCGGCTCCGGGGCGGGGACAGGGGAGATCGGGCGCGCACCGGGGACGTCCCCACCCCCAACCCACCCGGATCCTAAATGCAGCTTGTCTTTACCTCCCAGGAAGATAAATCCTCCTGGCTCATGCATCGTAACAATAGCTGACATTTATAGAGGTGCCAGGTACTGAGCTAAGTGTGTCCGTGGATTGGCCCATTAAATGCTCAAAACAATTCCACGCGATGTTTACTATGATTGTCCTCGTTTTACAGATGAGCTAAACGAGGCGCGGGAGTTACCCAGCTAAGTGGGGGAGGGGCGGGCGGAATTGTCTTCTGCCACTACTCTGGTTTGGTTTGGTTTGGTTTGGTTTTTTTTTTTGTTTTGATTTGATTGAGTTATAGTCAGTTTGCAATGTTGTGTCAATTTCTGGTGTACAGCACAATTTTTCAGTCACTGCAACTACTCTTTATAGCTCGGAAATCTCCTAGAAGCATGGACTCTGGAAGGTCTGGGAGGACCCTGGGAAATAATAATATTAATATTAAAATAATTACTAACATGGGTTGAGCACTTACTATGTTTCAAGCACTGATTTCTTTCATTCTGTCATTAAGCCTAGGAGCTAAACCCCCATTTTAGAGTTGCAGTTTAATAGAAGGTAAAACAGGCCCAGAGATGGTCCCTAAATTGCCAAAATCACACAGTTGAAATACAAGCCCACTTCTATTGTGACCTCAGGGCTTCAGCTTATTCTCAGCCCCCTTGTTTTACAGGAAGGTCAGAGAAGTGACTGTGTCGTTATGGACAACAAGTTGGGCCAGAAGTCCAGGGATCTTGTCTCTGACCTCCAGGTACATAAAGGCTATTTAGGAGTCATGCGCATCTGTTGGTACCCAGATCTAGCCAGGAATGTTTACCGCTTAGTTCTCAGTATTGGAGATCTGCA